TTTCAGCACATATCTTATTCTTTTTTTATTTCAAATACCATTGATTATAAATTATTTAGTTCTATAGAAATGCGTTTTAGAAGCATAATTATATTTAAAAAAATAAACACGTGGTTTCATATTACTTAAGAAATATTCATTTGGGGACGTAGTTCACCTATGCTACCACGCTCACGTTGATGATTGAGTTTTTCTGACGTAACGAAGAAAAAAATAACTAAATATCTAAAAACGTGCAATAAACTTTTTTTTTTTAATTTTTTTTATTAATGGGAGATATAAACAAGCAAATATTACTGAGGCTATCTTTAAAATGATCTGCAGTTTCATTTATTTAGATGGCGCTATCTCTAAACCAATGAGAATATTCCATTTTTTAAATGTCTCGCCTGAATGGTCTAATTAAAATTTTTGAACGATTTTCAGGATCGGGGGCTAAAATTGTCTCTTTAATCCACTCTGTCAGACAAATAGTTCTGAAATTATAATAATGCACAAACATGATTTTGGAAACACTGCATTCTTGTAGATTTTTTTATCCCTTTGAAGTCATTATTTGTTGATATTCTATGGGAATGGGGGCTGAGAAACGGCTGCATAGAGTTAATTTTATGACTTAGCTTCTCTTTGGTTAACCTCGTGGGGAGTACATATTTAAGTAAATTTTGGTTTCCAGGTCACCGAGATACCCTGGTGGTTTTTCTTTTCATTTGGATTTTCCGTCAGACTGAGTTTATGGCACCCTCTTTTGCTACCTATGTCTTTAAAACTCTCACTGAGTCTGTGCTTGTTAAATTATTTTTCCTCCTTTAGAGTTAGAACAAGGTGAACCACTTGTAAGAAAGGTCGTAAAACATAAATAATCTATAAGCTCTTATGCGCTTATCGCTTTGAGTTATTCAAATACGTTTTAACGAGCTAGCTATTCAATTCGTTAAGTATAGAATCGAAAAGACAGACCTCCCTCGATGATGAGTTGTAAGTATCTGCAAACAGGAAATGAGAAAGAAACCTTTCACTTTCATCCCCACATGGCCGTCTTCCCCTTCGAGAGAACAGAGCCACCTTAACCTATCTTTCAGCCGGCAAGCATCCAAGCAACAGGCCAGCCTGAGTGTGAGAAACAACTACAGGGAAAACAAACGTGAACACCAGACCGCATCTCCTGTAAGAACTAGCAAGCATTGTCCAGCATAACAACCCCCAGTAACCACCGAGATCCTACTAGAAGACTGGAAGGTTAAACTAGTTAATTAAAAACCAAGTTAATTAAAAGTTTAATAAGTTAATTAAACCAAGAATCTACCAGATAGAGACTTTAAAAATCTAAGAAGTTAACTTTTTATTGAGAAAAATAAGTTAAATCATAATTGAGAGCCCCTTATAAATTTGAACCGAACTCAGAAATAGGGAATAAAGCTACATTTGTTGTTGAATGCTGTTTAACTAAAATCAAGTCCAATACAAAAAGGTAGAATTTTTAGACAATAATTCCAACAGGGTATTCCTCAAAGAACGGCCCTTATAATATATTTTTTTATAAAAACATAATATTTAAACGATCGAAATCATACAAAACCTGTTTGATTTCGAGGAATTGATAATTAGAAAAGCCTTCCAGTTTCAATCTCCAATTAAACAGGTTTTGGTATTCTGTGCACCCGCCTTCCTCAGTTGTAATTTGTCAGATTTCGAGAATAAATTGGTTTTTCAAGTGTACATTTCTTCTTATTTTTTATATTACGTTTTTGTTACGTAAATATTGATCTGAAACGTTTCCACCCATTTCTGCTAAGGATTATAAAAATATATACAAAGATAGAACGGTCCCTGTAACAGGTATAGACAAGATCTTTACTAGCACATAAAGCTCTATTATTGATATTATATATAGATATAATTTTTATGACTATAATATTAGTTAAAATGGTAAAAAAAAATATTTATTAAAAACTATTTTTGCATGGAATATCTTTAGATAAACGAATTTTATAATCGTGTGCAAAAATGTTTGAATTCGCTTAAAGAAGTTTTTGAGATATTTCGAAATACGCAAAAAAAAATAAAATTAACATAAAAGGGTCATTACTTTGAACCACTGTTATGATAAAATTTTATTGGGACTTATTGCATATATAACAATCAGGGCCGGATTTAAGCTTGGTGAGGCCCTAAGCTACTGAAAATGATGGGGCACTTATAAGTTCAATTCCATTTCTATACATCTAAAGTAAACTGTCACTATTTTTTACTGTTGAGTATTAACATTATATTATTAAAAAATTTTATAATATTACTTTATTGTTAAATATATTAATTTTGATGAGACTTATGTAGAACCTTTCTTCTATTGCACATATTTTTTGAACCAGGGGAAGAAGTTACAAAAGAAACACATTTTAAGCACAGAGTAAAAATTTGGCTTGCTGGGCCACTATATATTTAGTTTTATTATATATTAGTTTTTTTTTTTTTAGATTCATTTTGAATATATTTTATATGATTTTTTCGCGAATTTTTTTCTCAATTGTTTTTTTTTTTTACGTTACAAAATTTACAAGACTTAGAAACATGAAATTTTGAATGTGCGTAGAAAACATGCAAAGAGTTAGAAAGAAAACAAGAAAATACAATTTGATTATTAGTTTTATTTTTTTTTATAACCACCGTTGAACAACCTACTCAATTTTGAGTTTACGCCCTATCAACCAGGCTATCCCGGCCAAATTTATTAGTTTATTTTATAACAGTCTTTGCGCAACCGACCCAATTTCGAGTTTACGACTACTAATATTCAACTCCGTGGCCTTGTAATTTTGAACCTAATCCAGAAGACAAGGGAACTGCTAGATTAGAACCCAGAGGTATTTATTTGTTATGAGAACTTGGAGGACTTTGTGACCCCGACAGATTTAACATGCACCAGTCACCATTTTATACATGGGTATTCTTCGGCCGGCTGGACTCAACTCCCATTCTCACGAGCACGAGTCCAACGCCATATGAACCAGGCTATCCCGGCCAAATTTATTAGTTTATTTTATAACAGTCATTGCATAGCCGACCCAATTTCGAGTTTACGACTACTAATATTCAACTCCATGGCCTTGTTATTTTGAACCCAATCCAGCAGTCCCTGGAGCAGGTGAGGGCCGTTTTGTAAAAATAAAAAGAACATTGCGTAAGCTGATATTATTTAATTGATGTTTATATTGAAAATATTTCTTAATTATTTTTGCTTTCTTTTTAATTATTTAAAGTACATTCGTTAAATTTTAGAGCAAGAAAAAAAATTGTCATTATTTATGTAAATTTTTGGCTTATATTTTTAAGGATTTATTAAAGGGTCTATTAAATATCAGAGAGAATAAATGTCATACGGGTTTAAAGTATCAGCTCTGCTCTTGATGGTGTATAGTGGCTAGGATGTGAAAGAGCAACAGTCCCGAGCATTCAACATATCAATGGAACACACTAAAGCTTTATATCAATTAGCAATTAGTTTTTGATAATTCCAATTGTAGAATATTTATCTTATTATAGAATGAAATGTTTTAAAAGACAAATATCTGTTAATGTTTAACATTTAATCAACGAAAAAACAGAACCAATATTGAAATCTAACGAATTTATTATTTTTAAGTACTGATAAAGTTTGTGACAGAAAAAAAATATATTAAGGCCTGATAGATTTCAGAATTTTAGAAACACCTTCTAGTTATACTATTCAATCAAATAGGTTTCGATGTCTTTCATCCCGGTCTCATTAGTGATTCAGCATATTTCGATATTATTTTTGTTTCGTTCTTACTTAATATCAATTTGTTTGAGACAGTTAATTTGTATACCTCTTTTACTACATTTTTGAGGAGTTTAAAAATATAATATTGAGGATTTTAACTGAAATGAAATTTGCTTTTTTTGTATGCCTCTTTAACTACGTCATCATCACACCCACACGCAACTGTCTACTCTAAATAATGCTATATAGAATGAGATAGCAAAACAAACGTGTGTAGTTATTTAAATTCTTATTCAAAAGTATTAGTTAATTTTTATTTTTTTTTTGAACTGACAATTTCTGTCCTTTTTTTAGATATTTTAAAGTGCTATTTAAAACTGCTGCATTTCACATGAAAGCATTAAATATATCATTTGTACAATTTTAAAGTAAAATAAAAGGGAATTCAGATCCTTAGAAACAGATATTAAATAGCCTGATGATCGAATGATGGGACAAAAAAAAACTTTTTTACCTTTCAAACTAAAAAAAAAATTTATTTATAAATAATTTATTAATACTCAAATTGCTTGAAAGATGCTATGTTTCCTGCTAATGACAACGAAGTTTTTTGTTTTATTCAGTCATTTATTTATATTTATCTTGTCTGACAATGTAAAAAAGAAAAAAAATGCATTTTGGGACTCTGAGGGCCCCAGCTCCGAATAAAACTTTAAAAAAAGAGGGGGGGGGAGTAGGATCTGGGGGCCCTTGTCATCTCGGGGCCCCAAGCTACAGCTTATTTAGCTTATACGTAAATCCGGCCTTGATAACAATAATAATAAAAAAAATGTAAATTTAAAATATATATGTATAAATGTTTTTTTAAAGAAAAGCTTAAATGAAAAATTAAAGGAATCAATCAATTAATAAACTGAATCAATTAATAAGCTGAGTAAAAAGCCTGCTTAGAAAGTATTTTATTCCTGAGCCTTCCCCAATTTTGTTTTTTAAAAGCGAGGATCATAATATTTATTTTGCGCCGACGAAAGTCTCGCTACTGTATGTTCAATCTTTGCTAACAGATTTGTTTATATTGAAAGTGTGACTTTGGATGCACCGTCAACTCTGCAAGTAAAATATCTCAATGTTAAGTCTTTTTAGAAATTATTGTTTGTTTCATTTGAATTATTGCAACATCCACGTGGTGTTTACGTCATAATTTTCTTCCTGGAGAAGTCCGTGCCACCCCCACACGTAAGCTGAGAGGGAGGAATACGTATGTTACCTATTTTGGTGCGTTCCCAAACCAATGGGAACGGGAAAGTCTTCCCATTTGACCAATATTCACTTCTTACTGAACTCTCTTACAGAGAACAAGCAAGCAATGGCTAACCGAGGACCTTCTTTTGGCCTTAGCGCCCAAGTGGCTAACAAGGTAGGCCTGTTGTTTGTTTACAAGCAATCTTCAAACATAACTTCTAATACTATTTATCTATAGTCAATAATAATAATAAACTTATTAAGAGTCATTTCTCTCAAAGATCATAAAAATTTTCGAAAAACTTATTAGCAATTATATTGGTAAAACTTTGTATCTTATGTATTAAAGCTATGTTATCCTTAAAGATATGCGTTAATTTGCATAGTTAGATTTGTTCTCCGCTTTTTAATTTCTCATCTATTTTTCAAAACGTAACGTTTAATAATGATTTATAAAATTGATAAGGATTGTTGAAATAATTATTATAAAAGTTTTTGTTACAGTTTCATTGAATTGCGAAAAAAAAGCACCAAAAATGATTTTTCACAAACTCTGCTTAAGTTAAACAAAAACTAATACTTTTACAGCTTAATGCGTCTATAGATAAAATATGAGACTTTCTGTTGACATTTGAGGAGCGGGAATGATTTCGTATCATTCATTAATGATGTATTCTTATACAATTTAAGACCCGTCATTAGAGATTCCTTTAAAATATATTTTAGAATAAAGCTAAACAACTTATAAACAGCTCTTCGAAATTAACGCACTAAATGACTAAACAATTGGGACCATGTTCTCTAAATTGCAACTACTATTTTTATAGCCAAAAATCCAAATCTGCCGAAAAAAGACATGTTTATCCCAGAAAGAATGTTTTTGTGTCTGATTTTAAGACCTGATTAATAGTTAGCACCATTTAATAAGCACCTTATACCTTTAACATTAGCACTTGATATGGAAAATCCAATCGTTAGAACATAAGTTTTTGAAAGTGGCATCTTTATTTTTTGATTCAATGTGTAATTTTCCAATTTCGATGAGATGTGTCTCCTTACGAAATGAACCATTCATATCAAATATTCTTTTCTGAGAAGCCTCTTCCATCAAACTTAACAGTCAAGGAAGAGTAAAGGGAACTTATAAATATACTTTTATTTAGTTTTATTATTTATTTAATTTATTTAAGAAATTATAAATATACTTTTATTTAATTTTATTAGATCTTTACAAAGCAATATCTTTTCAAACAAGTAAAATTAAAGGTTGCCACCTAAATGGAATGGGAAACAATATAATTAGCATTATTCTAAAATTGATTTTTCTGACTACATAATATCAATACAGTTCTGCAATCAGAATTATTGAAATGGTATTAAGTATTACACATTTGCTCTAGATTTTAGTTGATTGATAGCTTGGTGTAAAAAAAATGCCAGCATCATTCAATGGGATTATCATTTGTTTAAACAATAAGAAACCATTATTGTTTTTGTTTTGTTTTTTTAAAAACTTCAAAAACAGACTAATGTATTACATTAAATTATTTATTTAAAAAATAAAAACCACATAATTTTATGGCTCTGAATTTTTGAGAGAGAGAAAAAACCATGGAAGTTTCAAAAATTATCAAGTTCTAATTCTCCTAATTTAATAAAGATACATTTTTTTAAAACTTTTTTAAACAATTATCCAAATCTAATAAAATTCCTTTTTATTATAAAACTTTTTTGGATAGTTTATTGCTGTCGAATGATACTCCATCACCAAAAATTTGTTCAGGAAAAAACAGGAAGAAAAAATAAATAAATAAAAAACAGGGAGAAAATTAAAATCAAAATTTAACTTAAAATCCAAGAAGAGGAAGTCGTTTAAAATGTAAATTGTGTTACCCATTCCACTTATTTATATTTCTTTTTCAATTATTTATGAGTCAATTAAGAGAACTTGATAATAAGAGCAAAGAAAAAATGAATAGCAAAATTTCTATTTTGAAGAAATCTCTTATTTCTTCCTTTCCAGATGCAATAGGAATTTTTGTTATCAATTTATCGTCATATGAATCCAAGATAATTTTTTCGCATTTGTAGTAAAATTACAAAAGAGTTTCTTGAATGGAATTAGTGAAACTTGACACCATATTCTTTGTAAAATAAGTCACGGAATTCCTCATATCATTGAATCAATGGTGCCGCAAAGGACAGGGGTGTAGTGATTGTGTACTTTTTCCTCTTTTTCGATTAAACACAATTTTTTTCGTTAATTTTGCAGTCTTTTATTAATTGTATATGTATCTTGAATTTTTGTAAAGGTATATTAAACTTCATATATATGTATATAGTTGTTTTGCCGGTAAGACCTAGCTTCTATGAAAGTGGCTTGGTAAAAGTCCGAATTGTTATATGATTTTATTTCATTTCAACCTTTCTTTTAAATAATTAGTTATATTTTTAATCTTTTATCTTAACTTTAATCCAATTCGAAAACTGAAATTTTTAACTCTAATTAACTAATGCTTCCCTAATTTGAAGCAGTAATTTTCTTTTGTGCTCATACGATACTTAATTTAACGAATTTTAAAAAAGAATGATTTTTATTACATTTTTCATATTTTAAAGTTTAATTACTGTTAAAAAGGTGCATTTTTGTCAAACACTTTTGGTGTAGTAGCTTTAATTCAATTTGTAAAAATTTCGAATACTCAGATGTGCTTCAAAAATATTTTTCAGAAATACGAAAAAAAAAAAAAAATAATCCTACGATTTTTGTTGTATTTTGCCTAGTAGCACCCCCATACCAACCCTGGGAATTCTTCGTTGGGTGCGTGACTACGGTTTTTGCTGCAATGGGGTTGGTGAAACAAATTAACTGTATTTTCAAATTTCTTGTTACTAAAATATTAAAAATTTGTAACTTCGAAAAATATATTACAATTATAATATTTTAAATTTTCTGTAATAATATAGAAAGTTACAAACATAAAATAATACAAATTCTTACAATTTTAAAATTTATCAATTTGTATAAGTTTATAAATTGCGTTTTTTTTACTTTTTCTTTTTTCTTGCGGAATTAAATTTTATTTCCCCAAAACAATTACCTAACATCGGCTCTGAATATTCCTTCAATTTTAAATTATATTATACTATAAAAAAGTTCGATATAACGAGTACGACGTGTTATGATGAGAAGTCCGCTATTTCAACGAATTTTCAAGTCACCTACAAAATATGTATTAAAGATTCAAAAATTGCATATTTATAACCGAGTTAAAAATTATTAGCCGTCTGCTTTTTCAATAACATTTTTTGGGGGAAACACATTTTTCTGTTGATTAAGGATGCAATTTTATACGAAGAACTTTGTAAATAAAAAAACATTTTATGTATTTCTGGTATTAATGTAGAAAAGCGAACATCTTTTCCTTTTTAAATTTTTTTTTATCCCTTACTATTATATAGCAATGTATAGCTAAGCCACCAGCTAAGTTATCCTTTTTCCCGTTATGTGCAGAAATCCTATCTCGCTATTCGAAAGAATGCTTCTTTCGTTGACCACTTTTTCTATCATGCTCCTTTATATACCTTCCTGATAACTTATGAAAATCAACATTCACTTTTATCAATGAACGTCAAAAAGTATCGCATTTTCTTTAATTTTCTTCTTGCAAAAACTTGTTACTATTTGGAAACTTCCTCAAACTTTCCTGTGGTAGACATTTTTGCCTTTCATAAAGTACAGACCTACGTAATTTAGTTGTACTATCTGAAGGCAAAGGCAGTCTACTCTCGATATGTATTCTACATAAAGAAAAAATATCTATTGCATTTTTTTATCTTTTTACTGCTATTTTAATATTGAATTTGAGTATTTGCTTATAACAACAAATTCGCTATAATGACAATTTCATGTGCTATTATTATTTTTCGTAGTTACGGACTTCTCCTGTATTCTTATTTTCAAGGAATTGGTCAACTGTTGATTTCCCGTTAAATATACAGTCATATATATTTTCGTCGTATTTTTCTCATTTTATCACTAACTTCTCAAATAATATGCTTCTTATAATGATGCTTCTTATATTTTTAGATCACCAATATGCTTTTAATAATAAAGCACACATTCTTCAGTTCCCAATTAACTGCAAAACTGCTTTCCTTATATTTTACTGTTCCTTAAACAATTTATAATGTCTCCTAAATCAACATTTGGGTGATGATAAAATTGAGCAAAATTATTTTTCATGAAACGTAATTATTTTTGAATAAACCATTTAAAATATATGAGCAATATGAAATAACCAGTCTAATTTTTTAAATGATTTAAGAGCACTTTGAAATATTTCAACTACGTGAAATTATCAATCCACTATTTTATTTATTATTTTCCCAATACCTATTCATGTGAAATGACATTCGTCATTCAGGTATCAGAAGGACAGATTTCTTGAACGCTCGTTCAGAAGCAGGCACCATATTAGGTGTGCCATCATTACCCCTCCAGTAAGAAGTATAGAAAAGAAAGAAAGAACATCCATGCCGCTAACCGGGATTTGAACCCGGGGTATTTCTGACATCAGGTCAGCTCCCCGGTCGTCTCCAATATTTGATAAAAGTAAATGATTTGGAAATACTCGTACAATAAATCATCAATCGTATTCTTTAAATTAAATGATTCATTATCAATCCATTTTCTTATAAAAAAAAACCATTATGAATTACCTGAACTTTGAAATTTTTTTTTATTTTCAATGGCAGCAAAAACAAACTATAAAAGAAAACATAGACTGGGGGGGGGNGGGGGGGGGGGGAGTCTATGAATATAAAAGGTCTCTGATCTTTCAGTATTGGATCATAATATTACGATTGGCTAAAGCTCGGTAGAAGTAAGATCGTTCCCAGATTACAGAGACTGTAGATAGGACTTGAAACTTTGGAAAACGGTGCAAGTGTTCGGAAGACATTTATGGCCAAAGCCGAGCCTAAAATCAGCCACCATTTTATATCTGGGCCATTTTGAGGCTAAAGATAACAAATAGGGAACAATTTTTTTGTAGCATTCATACAAATACTTGATCTTACCTAATTCTGGTGTGGACATTTCAAATCTGAAATTAATTTTGCTCCTAAAGCTACGTTTTTTTAAATGATATATTTTGTCGTAATGAAGAAGTT